AAGTTGAAAGGATATCGAACGAGCAGCAAAACCCAGCAACTGAGGCAAAAAACGCAGAAAGGTCACTCGATAACGGTGAGGAATGCCCGCCGGTCGAGTTGACCGAAAAGCCATTAACGAGTCGCGAAGAAATAAATGAACTGGAAAAGTCAAAATCGGACGAAGAAAGGTCAAACTCCGACCAATTAGAAAGGTCACCAACTAGAATTCGAGTAGCAAGGAGTCACCCGAGAGTCGCTGCACGAACTGGGCGAAAGGCAAAAGAAGGGGACAAACCCCTGCTCAAAAAATTCGAAAGCGAAAAACTTAGCGATTCGCGAGAAAACGAAAGTGACCTTTCATCAGAAGATGAAGGAGTTGATGAGCGTCCACTCGAAAAGGCGTGACAAAGGTCAAGCCACTGCACAAGAATATGAGAGCAGTAACCCGACTCCGAGTGGACGAGTTCAAGCGATAACTCAACAACTTCGGAAGATTCAGGTGTAAGTGACCTTTCGGAGCAAGAGGATTTAATGGACTTGGATGAAGATGACGAAGTAGATGAGGAAAAGAAAAGGATATTAAAGTCAGAAGATTGAAAGTGGAAAAGCTAGAATGTCGAAGGACGTGATCAAAGTTTACAGCGATCAGCGAATCAAATTGAAACCGTCAAACTGCACACGTGTAAAGGTCAAGATGGGAAAATATGCACCGGCTCAAAACAAGCTGATGTTTACACCGGTCCCACAAGTGGAAACTGAAGTGCAACCGTTGGCAGGAGTGACGGACCACAGGGGAAAATACTTCGAAATCGTTATCGCAAATCACAGTAGCAAATACCGAATCGTGAAGAAAAATCAGCTTCTCGGCTACGTTGAGCCGTACGAACATATGGAGAATGTAAAGGTCAACGCAGGGACAGTAAAGAACGTACTCGAAGACCCTGAGGTGGATGAGACAACGAAAGCTGAACTTAAAAGATAATCGAAAACCTGAAATTGGGACCTGACCTTACCTTAAGAGCAGAAAAACGACGTGTACAACGCGTTTTGGGAATTCTGGAAAGTCTTACCCACATCAAGGAAACCGTATGGAGATGTGAAAGGGGTCACCCACGTAATTGATACGGGAGATGCGAAACCAGTAAATGTAACCCGGCCAGAACGAGTTGGACAGGCCGCGAGTTTATAACAAAGCATATCGAAGAGATGTTGGCACAAGATGTAATTGAACCGTCAGACGCCGAGTGGAGTTTCCCAGTCGTATTGGCAGTAAAGAAAAATGGCGACGGAACAATGGGAACAAGATTTTGCGTCAATTACATCATGCTTAACAAGCTAACGAGAAAGAATAATTACCCGTTACCAAATCCGGATGAGTTGCTCGACGCGTGCGCAGGCAACAAATATTACGGAAAAATGGACTTACAAAGTGGATTCTGGCAGATCCCAATGGATCCAGCGTCAATCAACAAGACGACCTTTGTAACACAAGATGGAATGTACCGATTTAAAAGAATGCCATTTGGCGTATGCAACGGACCAGCAACGTTTCAATTGTGTATGGATAAAGTACTTTCGAAAGCGAAAAGAAAGGGTTGCGTTTTCGGGTATATCGACGACGTGATCTTCGCCGGAAAAACTTGGGAAATTTTCATGCAGAATCTGCGAAATGTTTTAATGAGTCTGGTGGAAGCGGGATTCACGATTAAGCCAACGAAATGCGAATTTGGAATGAGACAAATGGGATTTCTGGGTCATATACTCAGCGAGGACGGAATTCGTATGGACCCGGAAAAGGTCACCGCGGTCTCAGAGTTCAAACGGCCTCAAACAGAAAGGCAGTTAAGGTCATTCCTTGGACTGGCGAATTATTATCGCAAGTTCATAATGGGATACGCACAGAAGACTTGCCACTTGTATGAGTTGCTGAGACAAGATAAACACGTGAAAAAGGACTGGACTGCAGTACATGAAGAAGAGTTCAATAGTTTGAAGAAGTTGTTGTGTGAAGGTCCAGTACTGGCAAAGTTTGACCCCGCGAAACCGACCGTTATTGAATGCGACGCGAGCAAAGAGGGAATCGGAGCCGTACTGTCACAAGATGGACATCCGATCGCGTACGCCAGTCGTGTCCTACATGGAGCGGAGAAGAATTACGGTGTAACAGAATGGGAATGTCTGGCAGTCGTGTTTGCTGTCAGAAAATTCAAGCCGTACATTGATTATGCTGAATTCACCGTAAGGACGGATCATCAGGCGCTCACCAATTTGTTAAGGTCAGAGACGAATAAAGTCGGAATGAACCCACGCCTGACAAGATGGGCAATGGCATTACAAGGTCACCAATTTAAAATCGAATACAAACCGGGAAAATATTGTGACAACGCGGACGCGTTATCAAGAGCGCCAATTGAAGGTCCGACGTGTCACGAAGAAGAATTTGACGAGATTCCGAATTTCGAGGATTACAAGAAGGAGTTTGATACGAAGGAACCGGCAATTGAAGTTGGACAGCTGTTCCTGCAGATGGTGGAACAGAGGAGAACGATTAAAGGTCACTTCAGCTACGGCGAACGAGTCGGCTGAAAACGAAGCAAAAGTGAACCGAGTGAGAAGCTGGTTGCCCGCCGTTAGTGACTTAAAGGTCACCGGACTTGACGCGGAATCTCAAATGCAGAATGGAAAGGTCACGGGACTTGATGATAGAGCGGAGAATAGAGATGACCTTTGGGAAACGGACAAAGTGGCACAAGCGTTGAACGAATGCCCAATCAAACTGTTGAGATTCCCAAAACAGGCGAAAAAGCGGTATAAACCGTTACCACGATGCAAGGTCATCAAGGATTGGAATGAACTCAGTACAGCGACAGTTCGCATTGTCAACCTGCAAGGTGACGAAGAAGAGGTTGATGACTCAAACTTGCAATTGCGGAATAAACAGTTGAAAGATCCCCATCTGGCAATGATCATAGACGAATTGGAACACCTACCAGACGCGGAAACAAGATCGAAATTTGAAGTGCATTACCAGTTATGGAATGGTATATTATACCGAGTAAAGGATAAAATGGAAAACTTGAAAGGTCATATGTTGTACCGTTGTCAATGCGAAGAGCAATAATCCACGCATTGCACGACGAGAAAGCAGCGGGACATCTGGGATTTGAGAAAACATTGTCAGCAATAAGACTCCGATATTACTGGGACAGGATGAGTACAGACGTGAAGAATTACATACTCGCCTGTCAAGGATGTCAGTTCCGTAAAACACCGAGGAAATGTCCACCTGGAAAATTGCAAGAGATTAAAGTGGGACATCCGTTCTTCCGAGTATATGCTGACTTGAAAGGACCTTTGTTACCGACCAAGAAACGGGGATATAAGTACATAGCGGTGTTTATTGATCAACTGACGAAATATGTGATTGCGGTACCAATGAAAACGGCAACGGCCAAAGAATTCGCTAAAGTGTTCGTGAAGCACGTGATATTGGTACACGGAGCACCGCACATCCTGCATACGGATCGCGGACGACACTTTACAGCTGAAGTATTGGCAAAAGGTCACCAATGTGTTTAAAATTAAACACACATTTGGAACGGCGTATCACCCAGAAGGTCAAGGCCAAGTGGAGAGACAGATGCAGACGATTGCTGATGGCTTGGCGCAATACCTAAAAGCGGGAAATGAGCGAAAGTTTAACAAGTATCTCCCATATGTTATTTCGGCGATGAACAGAGTCGTGCACGCCACAACGGGATATTCAGCATACTATATGCTACACGGCAGAGAAATGACAATGCCGGAAGATGTGGTTACAAAAACGAATATACCCGATGATTACGGAACTCCAGACGAATGGGTGGAGACCATGAAAAAGAACTTGACCTTTGCCGAAGAAGTGGCGAGATGTAACATCAAAGACGCATATGAGAAAAATGCGGAAATTTATAATAAGAAGAAATCGGAGCCGAATTTCAAAGTGGGCGATTTGGTACTTATACGACTTCCAAAAGATACTAAACAGGGGAAGAAAGAAAACCAGTCGGATTTCAAGTCGAAGTACGATAAAGTGTGGAAAATTCTTAGCTTCCCGCGAACAAACGAAGCGGAGGTCATCGAGCAGAATCCGAAGAAGGAAGCGGATCTAAAAGTGGTTTCCATTGATCGGTTAAAGCCGTGGCATCCGCCATTACCCGACGAGAAAGATTCGCAACGAACGTTGAACGAAAAAGAAACGGAAGAAGCCGAGCTTGCTTCGAAAAATGGTACCAATCAATTTTTCGAACCACCTCTGCTACCTGAAAGGGAAAAAGTGGATAAGGGCGCAGAGCATACTCCTCAAAAAGAACCTTTTTTCGAACCACCTCCGCTACCTGAAATGGAAAAAGAAAACAAATCTACAAAGAAAAGAGGAAGAAAGAAGAAAGAGGATAAGGATTTCGAAACAGCAGTCACAATCAAGTTGAACGCGGAGGCTGGTAATTTGGCAGAAAGGTCACTGGAACAAGACAACGAACCGACCTCTAAAGTACCAGAGTGTACCTCCAAAAAGGACCTGCAACAATCCTTTTTCGAACCACGCACTGCTACCGAAGATAAGGATGACCTTTCGAAACAGCGTACGGACGCTGAGATGTCAGAGCGTGACCCGAATTTTTTCGAACCACGCACTGTTACCGGTAATGAGAATGACCTCATAAAAAAGAGAGAAGAGGAGATAGAAGCGGTCAAATCAAAAGCTGAACAATTGGGCCGTGATATAGCGAAAGCAATTAACGAGCGGAAAGCCAAACAGAAGAAAAAGAAACCGACCCCTACGGACTTATTGACCCAAAAAGGCGAACCTGAGGATGCAGCCGAGAAAGAACTTCTTGATCGGATAACTAAAGGACGAGAGAACAAATAACCACATAGACATAAATAAGGGGTCACATTAAATTAAAGATAGGAGTTGGGAAGGCAAAAAGAAAGGTCACCAATGTGCAAAAAGTTAACCTTTATTGTTTCGTTTTATAGAAGGTAAGCACAGTTAATGGACAGATTGGAACGACAAAACTCGGATAATTCAGACTCGGAAAGTATTGGAAACCCACTAAAAGCATCAACACCTATAAGAATGGAAGGTGAATACGGCTATGACACGTCATATGGTGAAGGATCGACGTCGTCAGTGGGAACGGCTCAGAACGAACCTGGAACAACCCAAGGAGGTTACTACGGAGGACAGGGATATTACGTGTACCACGATCCAGGACAGCAGACGAATTATCAGGACACGGTTAACTGGGTGCACCACGGCTCACCTGCCGGAACCCAGTATTCGGGACAAGCAACGAGCGCCCCTTATCAACCGTATCCAGGATCGTATACCCCACCGGCGGGACCATCGCAGATGATAATGGGACCGGCAAGAATGTTGATGCCGCCACCACAACAGACTCCACCGAATCGATTTACGGGACATGGAGGATTCAGCGGAATGTTAGCGACCCCAGTACAGTCACAAAGGTCATCTCCGATATTACCGCCTTTTCCGGAGACGGGAGGCTTGTCACTGTCGGACATCGGAGCGCCTCGCATGAGAACACCGCAGCAACTTGGAGCGCAGCGCCCTCATCGTAATTCGCCACACAGAGGAGGAAGGCGACCGAGAGGCATTCTACCGTCATTGGGTCCAAACTTGGACGAGACTGGACCAGATGGTTTACGGCTTACGCCTCCAGGTGAACCGTCAATACATGCATATGCACCGAAGCTTCCTTTGGATTTGAGAGAGGACGACGCAAGCTTAAATATGATTCCGAATAAGGAGGACAAACTGACGGAAAACGACTTGGAAGCTATCCGAGAATTTAATCGAAAATGCCGCGAACTTTATAGAATTCACATGCGAGTTGAAGACGAGCACGCATGGTACGGAAAGTTGATCAGCCTGGAAGCCGTTATTAAACCATGTCATATCGCCCTGAAGGAAAAGACAAAACTGATCGAAAAAGAGCGCAGGGAATACGCGATAAAAGTTGCGTCGATGTGGCAATATCACCCGTCGCTAAATGGTAGGCCATGGCCTTCGATCGTCGAAAAGATCCTTAAGTATCTTAAAGTGTTCCCGGAAACAAGACAGATGCATCCTACCAGCGTCGCGGGACCATCTAAACCCAGAGCTGAAAAAGATGCCCCGGTTGATGAAATGACGGACGAGGACCTTTTGGCCACAAAGCAGAAGATTGATGCCGTATTAACGGAACGAGCAGAAAGGTCACGGGCCAGCTCGGTTGCAGGATCAGGACGTGGACGTACTAGTTCGGTCACAGAACCATCCAGTGGCACCACGAAGAGTGGAAAAAGAGTGAGATCACCGACGACAAGCCCAAAAGAAACCGATAAGAAAGGGCAGCGAACAAAGAAGCCCACAGAAAGCAAAGCAACACCAGCTGAGCCGGCAAAGCCACAGGCCCCGATTCCAGTGGGTAGAAAGAGTGTACCACCCACGCCGAAAGGAACAGAAGGTCAGATTCGATTCCCGAAGTGTAGAAGTTTCACGGCCAAATACACTGGGGAAGATCATAAAGAACGAAAGGTCACTGCACGAATAGTCGATAAGAAAACGAACAAAGAGATCGATTCGTATAATCCCCTCGCGGATAGGTCAGTCAAGGATGCCATTGGGAAAGAGTCAAAAACGATAGTCAATGAGGCGCTACAGTTTATTCCCCCAGAAGAACGTCATAACCCAAGAGTTATCGTTCAGATGATGAAGCACGTGGTATCTAAAGTTGCAACCGAAGAAGATGCATGGATCCGTATCAAAGTGGGCACAGATGATGACCACTTGGCATATACATACACAACGGACGGCAAACTGTTGATCAAAGAGAGAACTCGCTCAAAACCGACGGCGGATCCAGATCCGAAGAAACGATCGTCAGATGATTATGAGTCGGTCCTGAGATATACAGAGGCGACAAGCAGAAAGGTCACCCTCAGACTTTTCGGTGGTAATGGAGAAGCTGTGGAAACCATAACTGCAGTGATAGTCGATCCAATAACAGGAGACCCGGTTCCATATGCCCCATGGGATGTATCGGAAGAGAGCGCTCGAAATGCGAATCAGGCAGCCATAGAACAGTTATGGAATCTGATACCTGAAAGTGACCGGGAAGATGCGGTGGTCCAAGCAAGTACACTCATCAGCATGATGCGGCATCGAGCGGAGATCGATGGAGCACATTTCCGACTCACAAGACGAATGGAAGACGGATCGTACAAAACGGTATTTTACGACGCTAAGAAGAACCCTTTGTGGGAGGTCGCTTCACAGGGACAGCTGAAGGAGACAGCGCACTTGGAAATTCATCCCCCGGCACAAGAAGGCGGAGCCGGAGAGACGGAAGAGGCGCAGGGCACGTCGGCAAATGTAACTGAAACAGGAGGGGCCAGACGTTCGCTACAAAGAGTACTTGAGATTGCCCAAGGAAGTCATGAGCACCTTCAGTGTGATGAACCAAACTGTGCCCATTGTAATCCACCTGGTGACGACGAACCAGAGTCGGAAGACGAGGACCCACCTGAGGAAGAAGGCTCAGACGAAGAAACGGCCGATAAGCATAAAAAGCCCTTAAAGGTCAAGCCCTCAAAAGTCAAACCGAGGAAAGCGCCCAGATTGGAAGAGGCCATGAACCGGGACAAGGTTAAGAAAGGCGATTTTCTCAAGAAACGACGGGAGGAAGAAGGAAAGAAGAAACGACAGGAGGAAGACGATAAGAAGAAAAAGAGCGGTGATGAAAGCGATAGCACAAGCACCGGGAAGAAGAAAAGAGATGAACCGGCGTCTCACGATGTGGAGATATTGGACGAGTCAGTTGGTGAAGTCGAAGAAAGGTCATCGACACCTACGAAGTCAAAGAAAGTTATCCAATCGGCTACAGCAGAGCCATCAAAAACCAAAGGAAAGGTCATAGCGGTGAAACAAGCTGTCCCTATTGTCATTTCCGCGTCCACGCCAAAGGAGCGCAAGGATAAACAGATCCGAGAAAAAGCGAAACGGGAGACGTCGCGTGAATCGGAGGCATCGGAAGTGAGCCTTCCAAGCACTTCGACGGTTAGTGCGAGGTCACACACGGACTCGAAAACGACACGATCAAGAACCACTGAACCAAGAAGCTTAGCGGAAGCTCTGGATAAAGGGAAAAAAGCAAAGAGCGAACCCGTTAAGACCAAAGGAAAGGGCAAAACAGTCACGAAAATCGACGCATTAGCGACGGTTAATTACACTGAACCAGATGGAGAGAGTGAACTGGACTTCACCTCAGACGAAGAATTTGATGGTCCCGATGATGATAATTTGAACACGGTCGATGAAGTGATCAGAGCGTATAATGGAGCTGAAAAGAATTTCACACGAATAAGAACAGCATCGGTGACATCTAAATTTAAAGCAGGCCTGAAGACGTATTTGAAGAAACAACATCGTAGCTTCACTAAACAAAAGTTCGACGTCGTATTGGAATTCGCGCGGAACGCAGGAAAACTTATACAGAAGCATCCGAGTTTCTCGTATGAGGCCAAGTTGTTCAGACCAGCCAGTTCGGATAAAGCGCTGACAACTCCGAATGAAGCGGTCCCAATGCGAGTAGAAAGGGCAATCGCAGGAATGACAAGCCCGTTAGGATCAACAAGCCATCGGATTAGCCAATATACCAACGCAGTTTGGAATGACGGGAATGGGATGATAAAGGAGATCGACACGGCAACCGAGCGTGTATTGCCAAAATTGATTAAACAGAATATCCTTGCTACAACAAACGCAAATAAAGGACACCCGATCCGATACACGAGAGTTGGTCTAATACCACCGGAAAGACAGATCCACTGTAATATGTCCGACAGTCAGGATATGGAAAAGGTCACAGTTTCATCGAAGACAAAAGGCCCAATGGACTCGGAATCGGGAAGTGATGACGATACTACAACAACGGCTCCTTCTAGACCTGCGACAGAAAAAGGTGAACAGTCGAAAGGTCAAGAAACATCTGGAACTACCGCAGAAGATCAACCGAAAGGTCATGAGACGTCAGATAAACGGGAGAAAGAAAAGGTCATGCTCCCGATGGATAAGGCAGCGGCAGAAGCTGAAGCGGATTCGGCGCGCCAGGTGTTTCACAAATCACTGTTCATACCATTAAAGGACGTCTTTGAGTAGGAACGATCGAAATCGGTCGGCGATCTAAAAGGTCAAAAGACTTTGCCGCAAGAGGAGAAGAAGACAGCCGAACCAAAATCGGCGGGGTCATCATCAGGATCACTGGCAAAGCTGAGGATCGACGAGACAGCGACGGCTGACCCAACGGACTCGACATCCTCCCAGAAAAGTAGCGGTACACCGGCAAAGGAGGCTACAGATTACACGTTAGGGCCGGCATTGGACGTGAATAATCGCACATGGAACGAAGTCCAAGCTGCACTCCAGATTATTCGGGAAAAGAAATGCTTGGGACAGACCTGAAAAGACAAGTGGCAATAAATACGAACGGAAGGTCGTCACTTAACATGACTGAACGAGCTCTCAAACGAGCATATAAGGAAGGAAAGTTGGGATGTAAATACAACAAAGACAACAAAGTCGTCTACTACCTTCCGAAACAGGGCACGGAACGAACGCCCAGACTGAAAATGGAACTGGAGGCCCGGAAGATAGCCATCACAGATGTGGCTCTGGACGCCATTGGTGGTACCAATGGCGCGTCATGGAATGACCTTTCGAACTTCATGGCCGTCAATTATGAATTGGGAGAATTGAATATTGAAAGCGATAAGGAGTGGATTAAGAATGCCGTTGAAGCCTTGATCTCGGACGAAGTGCTTCATATTAAGCCAGATGGCCGAATCGATTTCAAGCCGTATAAACCATCGACGAAAGAATCCGAGTGAACTAATCGAGTGTAGTATGCAGCGAGTAATGAACCCTGCATATTACAGAAAAAGCATAAAATAATTTAAAACGAAAAGGAAAAGTGTTACGAAAGGTCAACTGAAAGCAGTACTAGGACTAATAGAAAAGGTCACAGTAGTCAGAAAGTGCTGATAACGTGAGAAAGGTCACCACGTTACAGTGATAGAAAAGGCAGCAGGAGCTAGGAAAGCCTCAGCTCAGTAACGGAATAGGCGTAAAAATGATAGAAAGCCTTAACATGGGAAGGATTAACGTCGAAAAGGTTACTATGATGGATTGTTTTATAATTGCAGATTGAAGAGAAAGATGGCACAAAAAGGTCAAGCCCCTTCTAAACGTTCGGGAATGGCGGCAGACATCGATCAGTTTACGGGCTATAATCCAAAGTGTCCGGACTGCTTAAGGAACAACAAAAAGAAATTCCCTTGCTACACTTGTATTCACAAGCTGGAAGACCCACATACCGTCACGCTTGTTGGGATCATGGAAGCCAAACGTGGGAACTTGGACGTTTTTCGAAATCTCATAAGCGCAAGAAATTACGGCAGCATCCCAGTAGAAGAGCGAATGCTATTCGAAGATCGTTATCGAGAAGCGATCCGAAACAACGAACCTGGCTGGGATGACACCTTGGAGCCGTTGAAGTGTCCACAGACAGACGCGTATCGGAAGAAATTTGAAGAAGACCAAGCGAAGATGCGAGCTCAGCAGATGGAAGACGAAATCCGCGCGAAAATTAATGCGGAAAATAAGAGAGCAAGTGAACAGGCTGCACGAGAGGGGCTGCCCAGCACATCGAGTTTAGTTGCACCTACGGGCATGGCCAGCCTTAACGAAGACGAAATGCAACTTGTACGACAATCACTTATCATACAAATTGAAACGATAACGAAAGATCCAGCTGCCATGTCAGACGAGGTATTCAAAATGCTGTTGCGGGAGAAGAAACGACTTCAAGACGGGTTCGCGCCGGCACCCTACATAAAGAAGGAAGTCGAAAGACGTATGGATGACCTACGTAAATCTCGCCGAACCGAAAGCGATGTGCTGCAGGCATTCAGGAATTTTAAACGGGACGAAGGCTTTATACGACCACGTTCGCCCCCGCATAGAGAAAGGTCACGCGGACATTCACGAGAATATGAGCGAACTTCTGAACGACAGAGGGAAAGGTCACGCGAACACTCTCGTGAGAGGACACGTGACTACCGCAACGAAAGGTCACGCGAACGCTCTCATGACAGAGATTACCGTGGCGGAAGAGGATGGGTGCGCCATGGAGACGAAGTTACAGAAATGAGTATTCAAAGGAAAATCGATACGGCAAAGATTTTGGCGGCGACGAGAGGACGTGAAGAAAAACGGCGTGCGGAGACATTCCGTACAGAGCCTGAAAAGCAAGGGCATCAGGTGCCGATGGGAGTCGCATTCCGGAATCGTAACGTCAGGATGTCAACACCCGAAAGGTCATGGGATAAAAGACGTGAACATACGCGAAATCGAACGCCTGACCCACAGGATAAGAGATGGCAACAGAGAGCCGCATTTTATGCGACCTTTGACTCGGGCGCAAGTAAAAGGTCATCAAGCACTGAACGGGAAGATTCACCCCCAAAGTATCAGCGGGTGGAGTCAGTGGTTCACGTTGTGGATCCAATTGTGAGCGCCGTACAAGAAGATGACGCGATGGAAGGCACTGGCTCAGTTGTCGAAACCGCGTCTCAAGAGAATGTGACCCATCGACGAAACGTGATTTTGGATAGTGACCTTCAACCGGCTTCACCGGCGAGTAATGAACCGTCGCAGCCCGAGTCAGGAGAACAACGTGAACTGGAAGGTCAACGAGAACCGGATAATTATCGCCAGGCTGATCAGCGACAAAACTCCAGATTTGACAACCGACGTCCTGAAAGTATTGATATGGAATACAACACGACTGATATCGATGAGCAAACGGTCGAAATCTGTCGATACTTTGGTATTGAATCGGATTCGGTCGAAGCTAACAAGATCCTCACAATTCTGAGACAGTTGAGCCAATTCCTACTTGACTCAGGTTATGCGAGAGAGATTAAACAGGGAGTGGAACAAGGAACTTTTCGTCGATTATTCATCCACCGCGATTCAGTACGGGACTGTTATCTCCCTATCAGACGGAATGGGCTACACAGTTTGGTGGATTTAAGTTTATTGGATGTACCGCTGGACACAACTGACCCAATCGGGATGACACAGTTCTACTACAGAGACTATCCCGAACGCCAAGAATACGTGGCTCAGTTTGTTTTACGACATGTGAATCCAGCCTTCAAGTTGCTTGCAGCAAGGGCATCGATAGGACTACAGGTGGATCCTAAGGACTATGCCGCAAAAAGGATGGGGCAAAAGGTCTTTGCTGCGAGACTGGCACATTACAAGACACAGAATCAATTAGTGTCTAATACCATGAAGGACGACATTCCACCGTTCTTCCGAGCTCATGTCGCCAAGTTGGGACAACCGATGGAACATATCAGCATAGCGCATACGGCTCGGAAGGCGCTGAAGAAATGTAAGACACGGATGGAAAAGGGCAACTTGACACAGCGCCACGCATCCCAAGTAGAAGAAAGGATTAATAAGATCAAAGATTCTCTGGGAAGCGATTACGTCGAACCGGTGGACGGAATCGAAACTTACATTGATGAATTCTTAGTGAAGAAAAGTGACCGTCGCCCAGACCGTGCGCCTAACCAGATGGGACGACGCGGCATCCGAAACCAACAGCTGCGGGATAATCTCGCCGACGTGCAGCGTCGATTGGCGGAAGACCCTGATAACCGAAGACTGCGACTCGAAGAAAATGACGCACGCCATCGACTTGAGGCGGTTAAGCGAAGTCGCCAAGGTAAAGGTCGTGGCCAGCGCGAAGTTGACCCGACAAAGGTCATGGAAGTTGACTCGACGGAACCAGTTGACCGAACTTCCGATCGAAACCAACCGGAAAGCGCTAAGAAACGCCCGCCGAGAGATGGCCAGGGCGATTCAAATGAAATGGAATAGTGCTGATCGTTAGGATCACACTATTAAAAGGACGTCTACGGCATTTGTCGGTACGTCACAAAGATTAAAATGGTGTTGTATAAAGGGCGCGACACGTGACATGTTAACATTAACTGTATTTGTGTATTTGTTGTTTGCAGCGTTTATAGCACAGAATTGCCTAAAAGAAATCATGTGGAATATCTATTGGGGTTGAAATTGATTCGGTCTATAAAGCCGGCCTCATTAGAGTTGTTACGGTAAACTATGCCGGCACTCTTTTCAAGCGATTCAGTGTTAAAATTAAAACGAGAAAAACTACGGTAATCAAGCCGGATTTCTCGTACTAACGTAAGCCACAAGCGGCGAACAAGAGTCAAAGATTTAAGGTGGAAATTTTATGGGGTAAACTCAATCCGGTAATTAGCCGGCCCCATCAGAGATGCTACGGTAAACTTGCCGGCACTCTGGCCGCTCGAGGCATATTGAAGTTGGATGTGCGACGGAAAAGTCAAACTGTAAATTTTACCAGGAGGCAAGCAAGAAGTGCTTGAAGCCGCAGAAAATCGGCTAAGTTCCTCCATGACCTTTAACAGAAGTTTTGACGAGTGGGATGACCTTTGGGATCATCAATTGCCCAACAGAGTCACCGTATCGGAATTCAAGTCGCATGACCTTTGGGACCATTAACCCAAAACGAGCCGCACATCTCAACGGATCATCTCAACAAAGGATGACCTTTATTAGGGAGGAAGCGAACTACGCTTGTCTTCATTGACGTCCCTCCATGACCTTTATTGGATCTCATTTTGAAGTCGTACGAATGATACGCACCATATTCCAAAGAGTGAAGCAGTATTCCTAAGTCGTACTTGATACGCACCTGATTCTCAAGCGGATTGTGATGAAAGTCGCATTACGGATGCGCGAAATTGCTCAACGGAGCGGAATGGGCCAATGTGCGGAAAACGGTGGACAGGACCTGTGACCTTTACGAGTCAGAAATGGAGGATCCTAGTCTACATTTGGTTCATACTTTTGTTGATCTGTTTAACTGTTGATCTGTTTTATGATAGTATTTTTATAATTGGATCTCTTTATTCACATCGTATTAAATGAAATTGTGCCTTTATGTAATTGATGTGATAAAATGGATTAAGAGAATTTGATGTTTTTGAGCACACACAGACACCGGCGACCGTCGTCTTCTCGTGGATTCGGGAGTGTGTCCAGCCTCACAGGAGCTCGGCATCCCCCCAGAGGCATGTGAGACCGGGATCACTAGCGTTCACGTCAGTGGCGCTACGCCTGTGGCGCTACGCCTTAGGATTACGTGTCTGTGTTGTGTCTCTTCTGATTGGCTTGAGTTGTGTTAGTGGGCGCGGCATAGCACGTGCTGCACAGTGTTACACACTGTTGAATGGGCTCCACGCTTTACGATCGAGCTGCGCCGATCATTATTGATTTTCTGTTGTCGGAATTTCCAATTAATTAAAAGTCAGCTATTAGCGGTGCGACGTTTCGTGATTACGCGTAGTTCGCTATACTAATCGCATAGCTCACTCCACGGGATCTATTCCGTTTAGGTCTCCGTATCTGGATCACAGTTGGATCTAGCATTAGAGCCGCTTAGACCGGATTTGCGGCTAAATGCTCTATCCGGAAATTATGCGTGCATGGTAATGCTGTGACTGTGTTGTACACGATCCGGTCTCACGTTATTTGGGATGAGTTCTTCTGAATGTACAGATATTTGCACAATTATCTCGCCTGCACTGTATATTGAATAAATTGTCAGTTTTTAATAGGTAATAAAAACAATCTAAAATTTTTAACACGCGTACAGCTTCGTCCAACACTAACCATGAAAACAAAGCTACACACCAATTAAAAGTCACCCCCAGTTGGACAAAATGAATAGATTTAACCAAAATTTCTATCACATTTCCTGGCTGATACCGACACAACATTAGAAACCCAGCTCAATGACAATCTACAAATTCTTGACGGTGGACGGTGCGTAGGCGGTGAAGAGCGCATTATCCTGGACGGTCTGCTTGCTGGTCGGCGAACTGGGATGGAGATCCTTGTCGGGGAGAGAGTCCTGTTTGTAGAAGGGGATCTTTCGCTGGGAGAAGCGTCCCATCACGCGCTGCACGATCACTTGGATCAGCGAGCTGACGATGCCGGTCGTGGCGAAGATCCCGCCCACCACGCCGCAGACGCGCACCAGAAAGTGCAGAATAGGCACCGGCTGCTCACTGACGCTGATCTTCAGTGGGTTGATGTCATACTGCGATGCAAAACATGCAACCACCATTAGAGAAGGCACTGTCATACAGCGAAGTAAAACAAAAATTTATTTTTATTAGTTGATTACTAAATTTTCGATTATACATTTATGTAATGATTAATCGTTCACTCTAAACGATTAAATAACAGAAAAATAAACAAATAAAAAATAAAACAATCGTAAAAAGGAAAATTAGAACAAATAAAATTAAAAAATTCAAACATAAATCGTTGTTTTTGACTACTGCAACGAACGAAAATGCGCCTGACATAATGAGTATTATTCAGAACCAAGTTATTATTACTTTATTTCTTTATCAACACCTGAATCTTATTAGATTTTTATTTTTCTGCTGTTAATTACATTACTGTTTCTCCTACTTTTATTTTTTAGTGAATTTTCTAGCAACAATTTAAAAAATAAAAAATTCAGAAAAACCCGAATTTAAATTTAGAAAATTCCAGGCGCATAGCACTTTCGTTTAAAAAATACGTGCACGTAGGTGCGTATCGACGTACATCAGCAAAATTATTACGGAGCAGTAATCCTAAACATCAACGATCAATTTATTTTTAAGCGCATGCAAGCCGATGATAAAAATGTCATAAAGGACTTAAAATGATAGCGTTAAACGTTGGCAAATTTCTGGGCAAGCATTTGTCGCTTCAATTTGGCTAACCTTGATGAAAATCCCCGGAATGCCATGACTGCCTGTTGAGTGATTCAGAATCCGCTCCTACAAAACAGAAAACCGTCAGCCAAGCTTAAAGACCGAATTTGTTCTTCTTACTGTGTTTTTTCTCTCATGGAAATACACATAAAAAACTAGTAAATAAAAAACGCTAATTAATAATAAAGACTTTCAAATAAGAATAATTAAGACGACTGAATAATCCATAAAAGCGAAAACAAAACATTCACCAGTAAAAGCTTTCAAGCATCTGCAACTAAAAAAGCAAAACTATTGAGTAATCAATTGAAAAAAAAAATTTAGCAATAACAACTCTAAAATAACAAAAAAATGCAAAATAATAATCAAAAATTCTCAGAATATTTTCTGAATACAATCTCTTTTCAACAACCGTAAAGAAATAGGAAACTACGTAATTTGCGCATTAAATGCAGCATGATCTTACCATGGACTGGACGCCGTACTGATAGGCCATGGCCGAGCCCGCCCGCGTGGACACATCCGTGGGAACAACTACGTATGAAACATTGCAGAATAAATTTCATGAAAGTTAACCCAATAAATATACGACAGTTATTTCCATTTATTGATGAATTTCAATTATTGGGTTATTATTCTTTTACTGCACTTTCTGCACTATTCAAACAATTCAGTACCAACCTTATTAAGTTACGAGTTATCGAAAATATTTAATGCAGAAACGCGGCTCATGTAAACGCCGAAAATAATATGCACAAGTTAAAAAATATGTATTAAAATATGGAATTAAAAAATTATTATTCAAAAAATTATTATTAATATGAATTAAAAAATTATTATGAAATTAAAAATTCCGATAATCTTTAATTTAAAATTAGCTGCTAATCTGCATGTAAATTCACCAGAGACACACCGGAATAATAGAAATCGCACCACACATTTTAATGAAATTCACCGTACCTTTCAGATTGTACTGATAACTTATGGAATCTGTACACAGCAAACAATTAATATAGAGCATTATTTTCCATCATTCCAACAAAGAAACACCCACGTTTATTGGTGGTTTTCTCCTCGCCATCCAGCGGATTAATAATGGCCACATCTTGCGCACCGAATGCAAACCGCTCGATTCGATGGGAGAAATTCGTGTCTAATTAATGAACACACAACCATCCCCAACAAATCAACAAACACATCTGAATTCCTTTCTAAAACATTTCTAATCAAAATTTTTCGAAACATTTGCAAATATTTTTACATAAAATTATTCGCAACAGAGTTTCTCTAATACAAAATTCGCAAATATTTCTTTATACAAAACCTGTGTCTAATTAATAGAAGAACTTTGTGGCTAATGAATAGATGAGCAAAAACATTAATAATTAAACATATCAAAATTTTTATCTTTTTTTTAAACATATCAAAAATTTTTTAATTTTTTTTTATTTCAAAAAAATTCAAAATATTTCCATTCTAAATTTTCTAAAACCATTCACAAATTTTTCCCAAAAAAAATCTGTATGAAATTTCAGCTACCAACTGTGTCATGGGCCGTACTGTAATTAAAACCGAGAAATTCTGGCAAACGCACCTGATTCGGAGGTAAAAAGACTGATATGCGCGTGCAGATCACCGCCGTGCAGCGCCCTGCAAATAACATCAACAATATACTTCTATATTTAATTCTGAAATAAATAAGCAGCACTAATTTATCCGAAACACAACTGAAAAACAATATCAATTCCTTTTACGTGATCGTAAAAAGTAAGAAAAACCAATGCAAAAATTATGACAACTGAAAAACAACACGAAGAAAAGCAGCGAGCATAAAACATAAACTAGTAAATCAATTCAAATCAGATTTTTCGAAAACAACTCATGGGACATGGATTATTCATATTACAAGAAATCAAAGATAACAATTGATGAAATCAATGAAATCCATCGACTACTGAAATTTACCGTCACTCAGACAAGTATGGAATGATTTTATCTAAAATAATAAATTAAAATTCAATAAATGAATTAAAAAAAACTGTTAATATTATTAATTAAATTAATGATTAAAAATAAATTTGTAACGGAATTGACTGTACGTATGCCGATTTATTGCACATACTTGCCAGCCAGAATGTGGAAATTCCCGGCCATCTTCTTGACATGCACCACCCCGTAGATGCGGCAGGCGTCGTGTCGCAAATTGCCCCGGAAGTGGATTTTGCGGGCGGTGGGCAGGGCGACGGCGCTGCGGTAGCCCTTGACCCACAGGAGCTTGTGCAGGGCGTGGTACTCCTCGGAGATGTACTGGTTGACGTGCCGGCGCATCTGCCAGGCCTGCTCGTCCTCCTCACCCAGCTGGAAGTACGCCGGCTCCTCGTTCAGCCCGCCGTCCATGTCGATGTTCTCGTTCACCAGATCGACAATGTCCGCGCCGATGGCTTCACAAAACCGACGGCTTTTTGTACAAATTATTTACGCCAATTCTCAATTACTATGTTACAGTTTCTGCGCAGTAAATAAATACAAAAATAAAATAAACGCAAAAATCAGAAAATGTTACTGTAAATTAAATTATCCGAATGAAATTTGCAGGACATTTTTATTTTTTGTCCGCGCCGATGGCTACCAAAGAAATGGTTCGCATATTATTTATTTACTTATAGTATCACCTATTTTATTAATTTCTTATTATTATCATCATTTAATTAAGTCAATAATTATCTTGTTACAATTTCTGAGCAGTAAATAAATAAGAAATCATAAAACACAAATAAAATAAACGCTAAAATTAGAAAACAATTTTCAGTACGAATATAAATTGTCATAACATTTTGTATTTTTTGTCCGCATCGGTGGCTAAAAATTAATTTTTTTACGAATTAACTACGCCAAATTACTGACAGTTTTTCTCAATTTCTACTCAGCAACGCACGCTAAAATGGGGCAATCCTCGATTCGAATTTTAGCGATTAATATCTTCTTTAATTTTTATCTTCTTAATTCTTAAAATTCAAAATTTCTGATTTACAATTTCATAAAATGTCAGTCCAAGGAGGAATGCTAAAATTAAAGGCGAATTCCTTTAACGCATTTACTAATAAAATACACTTTTATAGGGCACGCAGAAAACTGAACAACTTCGACAAATTTTGTAGTTTTAAATTACTTTCAGATTTATACCAAGAAATAAATGTTTTATTCTGTTGCAAAATTAACTGTGCGAAAATGCAGAGGGAATTTGCACAGACGAGTGAGCAGACGCAATTTCCAACGCACTTTTTTTAAGAAAAAAATACTAATAAATTATGCTGCATCCGAAATAAAGTCTTACCTTCGCACGCGCTGGCCACCGTCATATCAATGACCAACGGCAGTTTGGTGCTGTGGTCCGTATCCACCGAATATCCATAATGGAAATCCGGTTCGCGATAATGGAGAAATTCCACAATCACCAGAAAGAGAATCAGAAATGTGCAGGATACCGTCACTGCAAACAGCAACACAACATCACCCGTAACTTCTCTGTACTATCGCCTCCACTTAACGCAAACCAATACAGGGAAATGCTTGATACAACACAGATCAATAAGCGAAAAAAGGACTTCAGTTATTTTTTGAATACGCACAGATTGCTCCGAACTTTGTCGGTTGCTGAAAATCCGAAGGAACCTACAAACAAGAAAATAGCACTCTCCTGGAAATCCGCAAGCTCGCCAGGATTATAATACTTTAGGAAAGACGTCCAGAGAAGCGATCTTCTGGATGGCATCCACACGGTCCGCTGTTTCGGATTCGGCGATTTTGCGCCGTCTCAATCCGTCATGCTCCATTCTGCAGATTCACGAAAAACACATCCAGACGCAAACATCAGTCCAGATTATCCGAACAGCTTCAAGTCTGCCTTTCCAATAAAATGCAAGCAAATGCCAAAGAAAAATAAGAAATCCAAGAAAACAAACCCAAAAGCAAAATTGCAAAATTCCAGAAAATGGAAAATCGCAAAACGAAAACACAGTGAGCATTTAAATAAATCAAGGTGAAAAAGCCCTAAGGCGGTCGCCTTGAGATTTAGAGAAGGCTTGTCGGAAGCCTTTCCAGGGCGGTTAACTTAATGTCTGCTGCACAAAATAATCGATTATTGAATTTTTCTCCATTAATTACCACTTACCAGTATCAATTTTTTTCCCTCTTTGTCTATCCCGGATTATTCGTTTCTTGTGAGCTTTTCTTAAAAAAATTCTGATGGTTCATTTTTTTATATATGATGCAGAGTGAAGGCAGCGCAGTCAGTTCTTGCCACTCGCTGGTGCATGCAAGTGAATAATTTGCGCGCAGTTAATTAAATTCGACTGTTTATTCCACTGTTTTTTTTCACTTTTCATTTAAAAAAAGGACGCACAGAACGACTATTCAGATTTATTAACAAAAATTTAATAGTTATTGCTTAACGCTGAATCAAATAAATATTTCAGAACTGCATAAACCGCACGGAATATTGCGCCATAAATAATTACAAATTCTTCCGAAATGCGTTTTAATTTATACTACGAGTATCACCAGAAATACGTCTATTAGTTACGAATCCAACGCAGAATTTACCAGAAATAAAGTACAATAGGGTGTCGCTTGTTTAATTGCGTTTACGGTAGAATCAGGGGAATACCGCTAGGCACACCCATGACTTTTACAATCGGCTCATTTAGCCGCCGCGTCGACCAAGGGAATCCGGTCGGGCATGCGCTGCGCCGTCCGCCGGCGCCGGTCGACCAGCGTCGCCTCGCCCAACGCCGTGAGGACGACGAACAACCACACACTGACCACCAACAAGGTCACCACCTGGCAGATCTGCCCCAGGGGGAAGGCCAACGGGGCCTGGTACACCCACAGCATCCACTCTGTCGACAAGGTGCAGTAGGAACTCTCCGGCAGCGCACTGGCCCGCAGATGGAACAACCCCGTCCCGGTGAAGCGGATCGTGCTGTTGGAGGCCACCAGGATCCCGGAGGTGTTCCCCATCCGGGCGCGGAGGAGGTCCAGCGTCGTGTGGCTGCCGTCCGGGAGGACGATGCTGAAGGCCGTCCGGTTGTTGAGCTCCTGGACCAGGACGGGTTCGCTGGGCGGGAGGAGACCGCTGGAGGTCCCGGTGTCCAGACGCAGCTGGAAGAGATGGTCCCCGGAGAACGGGAGGTACACCGCCTGGGTGAGGCACTCGGAGTTGGCTAGTAGCATGCTGCGGCGCATGTCCTCTGTGCAGCAGCCGTCGCACTGTTTGTACACCACCGGAAACTGATCGGGCGCGGCGAAGTCCGTCCGCACCGGTTGCGACACGTCGGCGTTGTATACATTCGGGGAACGCGGGAAGTCGATCCCGTCGGCGTCCGAGGGCGGGCGGTAGTTGACCGGAATCGGTCCGAGAACTGGGTCGCCGATTTTGTTCGTCAAGGTGGCGTTGACATACTCTGCGTCGCTCATCCCGTCCGGGAAGACGTACCGGAGTCCGGAGCCCTTCAGACATCCGCTGACAATGTTCAGGACGATTAACTGCCGCCGGCAAGCGGAACTGCCGGAAGTCATGGTAAAGGTCACGGTGGTCGACCAGAAATCCGCCTGGCTCGTGGTCCCGACTTCCTCGATGGTGTACGTGAGGTCATAACCTCCAAAAGCGGTCTCCGAGGTTCTGGAGGTAATGTGCAGCCGCGGGGTGGCGGTGCGGAACGCCAGGATACGGTTGGGAAGTCCCCGGTGCTGCCGGCGAGTGAAGGTCGGTTTTAGGGACACCACCAGGGTCGCGGTATCCCCGCGGTCAAGGTAGACGTTGACAATAGACTGGGTCGAACCGTTTAACGTCAACAGATACGGGCACTCCTCCGCGCTCTCCCGGAGGACCCATGCCGGAGCAGTGGGATCCAGGTTCGATATGGACACGAGCCTCCATTCTCCGGGACGTAGGTCCACCGTGGAGATCCAGGCAGGGACCGGGGTGAGCGCCCATCCCGTGGCCGGGTTTAGTGCAGTGACGATGAAGCTGCCGCGCCAGAGGAGCCCGCCGTAGGGATCCCATTGCTCGGCGATGAGGGTGGAGTAGGCCGCGACACGGATGGACCAGTCGGCACCGGAAGTGCTTAAGGCAAAGGTCACGGGTGCGGTGACGTTGGTAAATGTGAGGGTTAGGTTCTCCTGTGTGGATAACTGGCCCATGGAAAGGTCACTGGCTGAGGCGAGGAGCGGTGAGGACTGTTCAATCTGGAGAAGGGATCCGGCGTCGGGAATCGTGGTGGAAACGAACGTTTCCGGGAGGAAGTCCACAACAACACCGCTGTCTTTACGACAAAATTTCAGTTTTAACTTAGCGTATAACAATTTATATTAACTGAGTTCGATTATTTTTATTACGAGTGTAAGTTTATCCTTCACTTTCCTTTTCATTTAATTTAATTTTAGTTTTTCGATAACATTTTTATTACTATTTTTTATTGCTATGTTGTTACTCACAGACTAACTTAATTTTTTTTCTTTCCAAAAATTAAAACAAATATAATACTTGAAAACGTGATTATAACATTATTAAAACTTTGTTTAACTAAATGCCAAATGAAGAAGTCAGTTTATTAAAATAATTTTAAACATAAGTTTAACCGATTCTTTAGTAGTCATATTTCTTTTAATTCTAGCAAAGAATGAAATGCAACGGCAGATATACCATAATCGCCGGAGCTGGTGGAAGCATTACTGACATGTCGGAACTCATAACCGACAAACTCTTCCGTCAGCTGTCGCGTCCCGTTCCCGGTATCCCACTCCAGTAGATAAAACACCGCCGATGTCACCGGGATCATGGCGAATGCCCCCGGGAGCACCACCTCCCGCTGGACCTCACAGCGCGCCGCGCCCCCGTTTGTCATGCCATCCAGCACGTACAGCCGCTCATCCGGCCCAAAGGTCACCGCCTGGTTCCCGTCCACTGTGCACCCTACCGGAAACAGAGCCCCGCCAAAGGCCCCGCCCACCATCACCCCGGCGGGACTCCGCACCGCCATCTGCGTGCCCCCCGGGGAGAACGTCACCTCCGTAACCTCCCGGTCGTGGAGGAGCTGGAAGCGGGCCCCGTCGGCGCTCATCCACAGCTGGTTCCCGAGAAGGTAAAGGTGCTGAGTGAGGGGATGGGCCTGGAAGCGGCGCGGCTGGAAGGTGTCCGGGAAGGTGGTCAGGATGCGGCCGCTGGGGAGGGAGGCGCGGAGGTCGGAGAGGGGTTGAGCGAAGAGGCTGAAGGTGCCGTTGGCGCGGTACAGGGTGTAGTGGAGGTTCGTGGCGGGGTGGACGAGGCTGGTGATGATGGCGGCGGGGTTGGAGCGGATCGTGGTGAAGAAGGAGGTGCGGGGTGCGGAAGGGTCGGAGTCGTTTTGCGGCCGATAGGACAGCAACGGCGTAATGAATTCCTGTGCATTTTACAACAATTAATTTTATTATATTTATTCGATGTTATTTCTTGACTTTGTTAGTTCTCTGTAGTTAGGAATTTAGTTTTATTTTTTTATATTATTTCTCAGTACTACCTACAGGGTGTAACAAATTTTTTTATTCCAACGAATATTAATCTAATGCGAGAATACGTATATAAAAAAAATAATTAACAAAATAAAACACTTAAAAACAATTAATTACCGGGTTAAAATAATTTAAAGAAATACAGGCCGGTACAGAAGTGCTTTCTAAACAAAACTGCAGTTTGAAAAATTACTAAAAATTGAAAAAATTATTTTAATGCTAAAAGTAGTTAGAAGGAATGAAAATTATACTAAAAACTAATTAAGTTAAGCATGTACTTGAAACGGCGGAACGACCACTCCACTGACTCCAGCCGCATTCTTAAACGCCACTGTACTCCCGATCTTCGACGGACTGGTGCGTATATAGCAGTACTCCGACGCCGTGGCCCCGGCATCCGCCGCAAACCCATCCAACACCGCCGCCCGACTGAACAGCATCGCGCGCGGCGCCGCATCCGTCCTCTCGTTGCCCGTGGGCGTGGTTACCAAGCGGTCGGTGACGTAGGCGCCGCATGCTGTGTGCAGAATGATATATGCCGGCAGCCCCGTGGCGGCGGTCAGGGTACAGTTACTAGGAAGAGTCGCCACCTTCCGCCAGCCGGTGAAGATCAGAGCGCTCATCGACCAGGAGACGGAGAAGTACACCCGGAGCGTCCCGGCGGCGGTGTCCGGGAGGGTCCGGATGAGGATGGTGATCTGCGGATTGCAGGGATTGCGGATGGTCAGCGCTTTGCTAAACAGAAACGCAAGGATCTCAATTAGCCAGGGCCATGGTACATGGTTAATGGTACTAATTTCGACCACATCGTACGCAGTTTTCCACTGCATTATCGCACTGTATATTTTCAGAACATAGGAAAATCGTAGAAGATGGGCGCAAGGAATTTAGACCCAGAAAGCGTTTGAACCGTTTCGCGACATTCACATAATATTACTGAGCTGTGTTAAATGAATCTTTTTGCCGGCACTGAAGACGATACTTCGAGTAATTTTGGTTTCCGTATAATGACTAAAAAATTTTATAATTTTATATATATTTACTGGTGTATGACGTACCGAATACGTACGCGTACATTCGTGAACGGAATGGCCACCTAAATTATTTCAGTTACGTATACGGTATATGTAATTCTCATTTTGAAATAATTTTACATTGGGAACATAAGTGATTGTGATTCATTGGACGATTTGACTATCTCGTTCGTGAATGTACGTTTTCGGTGCCGGTATACAAAAAGCGATCACAACATAGAAATTCTAATTACTGTTATTTATAACATACAAGGTAACAATGAATTTTGGCAATACTTTACTGTTTATGAATAAAGATCACCTGTATGGCACTGTCTTTAGTGTCAGCTTTGTTATTTAAAACATGCGTATGATTGCATGCGCGCGCTCCTAACGGCTCATCTGAAGTACAGCTTTGCAAATTCAATAATCAATAGAAACATTTTTAAATTCCTGAGATGGGTGACCAGACGTCGTTGTCGCTTACCCGCCATCGGCCGTCTGCGTCCGGAAATCCGACACACTCACCGGGTTCCCCCACAACCAACTCAAATACGCATCCGAATACGGATCCACCACGGTGAACCGGGTCCGCTCCACCTCCACCGTACTGTTCTTCCGCCGCACCCGCACGGTGACGGTCCACGGGAGCCAGGCGGCCCGCCGTCCCACCGCGAGAACCGTCCGGTTGATAGGCACCGCCCACACCCCGTACTCTGCCAACGAGTAGGCCTGCCCACGCATCAAGCTTTCCCAGGGCGGACTGCTGCCGTTATCCACACGCACCCACGCGTCCAAGGCGGCGACCGCCGCGCGGCTGACCTCCACCTGCCGCGGTTCTAGGGGATCTAAGCGGCCGTCGAGGATGTAACACAGGAGGGTGGTGTTGTCGGTGTGAAGAAGCAGGGCATCCTGTGGCGCTGTCGAGAGGACCGAGCTGTTCCAGAGGCAGCGCAGGACGTGGTCGGGAGCGAGGCTGTAGGGCGGAGCGCCAGCGCCAGGTTCGCTGCAAAGGCGAGCTCAGTTGGCACTGCAACAAGGGTCACCGTCGCGGCTAGTCTGGTACATACAATCTATCACATTTTTGACAAATGTACGGTATGACAGATACTCAGTTTCTTAATAGACATTTTATAGACAGATACTTAATAATAATGGAAAAATTATAACGTAGTTTTCTTCAAGTGTTTAAGCAAATGGGACGCACTGTTGAATTTCTTTTTTTCCCATGGAAATGTACTTACCAGCACAATACACAGCAAACATTAAACATTAGAAGTAATAAGTAATTAAATACAGTAAGGTGATTTCGAATAAAAAATATTTCAGTTGCAATTATTCATTTCTGAAAGCGGTCGTTATTTAGCAGCGCACTAGTGCGGCTTGTTCTTTTTAAAGCATCTCAATGTTCTCCTCTGGAACTACGTATACTGGTATCTGATAAATAAAGCGAAGGGTTTCCAACACAAAAAGCATCGATGTACCCAGTACTGACAATACATGAACCGGAAAAAATGACAGCTGTACCGCCTGTACGGTGCATGAACAGAAACCGAACAAAACTCCCGATGTGCAAAAAATTCTGGATGTTATTGCCTAATTCATGCACCTTTGCGCCACTGTCTATCGACTGCATCACACAAAATCAATAAAAGCCCTTTTAAAATCGTTGGGACGGATTGTCTCTTCAAAAGCCAGCTAGCTATACCAGCTAGCTGCACTGACAGACACGAACACAAAATTTCAGTTTTATACTTACTGTTGATCTAGCAGCGTATCAGGCGGGTCCATGTATGGCAGCGCCAAGAATCGGCTTTTCGTTTCCGCACGAAGTGCGAGGCAGAGTGCGCACGTTAATCCCAATGCAATACTAGAAGACATTTTTCCAACTTTTCTACACTAAAAATGTACTTAGAATACTTGAGAATCGAAAACTCGATGTGAGCATAGTGCAAGCAAAATGCACGAACTACTTGCATTTAACGAACAATCTCAACACTGAAGTTAGGTTGCTATGTAACTAGGCACCTCCCATAACATTACTAACTGCTTCAGTCTCCATTCGTCTTCAACTACTCGTACCCATGAAAAAGACCGTGCTTATTTTTTTTTATTCTGAAATATTACCCGATTATAGTTTTCTGATACAGTTAAGTACTGGATCTGAATTCTGCAGTAGGAGGAAATGAATAAACGTAATCGTTATTTGCTCATGCAGACCCCATACGCACGGCCGTACCCAGTAAATTTTACCCATTTGTCTGTGGAATTCTTAAAGCAGAAAAGTGCGACCTCCGAGTAGATTATGGATCTTTTTAAGTCTTTAGGCGCAAGGTTTTCCAGGAGACTGATGCACCCCGATTGAGTTCCTTGTACCCAACGTATCAGTGTTGTTATTAAGCGTCTGTGGCGGAACGTATATATAAATTTTATTTATTACAGTTCAGTGCAGGTCTGCTGGGGCCAACTCTGACATAGGAAATAATAACCGTTGTGGTTTACCCTGTGCGCTTCCAAAAAGGACAGTCCTGAACACTTAAATGGAAACTACTGAAGGTTTTCTGGCAAAAGCATCAGCAGTATAGTAGCGCAGTTCATTTATTCCAGCCCTGCCGCGACAAATTCCATAATGATAAGCTTAAACAGATAAACAGAAACTTTGCTACGATTGCTTTCTAGCAAATGGCAGTTACGATTATACACACCAGTAAAGAAAACGAAGATTTAGATATGCCAAAACAAATCTGTTCCAGCTTTTGGCTCGAGTTCGCCATGAGACTACCGCACGGCATTTGCATTTCGTGCAGCATCTGGCCAGCAGCAAAAGAGTCCCAAGACCGTTACCCAATATTCCAAAGGGAAGTAGCAGCAGGACAGTATATGCTGTCGTAGGATCCTTGGTTGTCTCACAAAGCCGTATGCGCCTAGCGTACGCATTCTCGATAGTATAGTTGACAAGCGGAAATCCGCAGGTATCAGTGCGGTTGTCCATTGGAGGCACCGTGACCTTTAGATGGCCAGTGAGAATGATGTCTCCAGCAACAAGGTGTTTTTAGCCTCCGCGTGAGGAGGCGAGCTGGTCAGTTTTCATGCGAGACCTATAAAATAGGCCAAGGTCAGCGTGAAAGAACACCATATCATTATTATCGGGCAGCTGCTTTCAAAACAAAACAAGCATATCGTGGCACACTGTATAAAAACTGAACAAAATGGTTGTGCGCCTCCGACAGAGCTGGCGCATACAATTTAGCTAATTCGTAAATTTTCGAATTCCCAGCACTGTTTAGGAACATTTTCGCATGGTTTCCTTTTACTCTTTCAGCCACAAAAATTTCAGGAAAGCACAAATTAAGAGTACGGATATAGTTCAAAACTTAATCCCGACATAAATAATAATGTTAATATGTTGCCAAATACCGCGGAAGCATTGACCCGAAACTGCCTGTTGGCTGTTAATACAAGCTCAACCTCGGCCTCCGGCCTCGGTTGAGAATTTTTAAAACTGAAGAAAATAATGTGGTAGTTTTATAAAGATTTAGGAAACGGCATTTAATTGGATCGGAAAGCGGTTTGTTTTGGATTATACAAACGGTATATGTATACACGTTCTGTTATAATTAACGGAACGTGTATCGGTAAGAGGTTAGACGAAGTGTATTACGTACTGAAGTAATTTACTGCGTGATTTTCTGTTCCGCCAATGCATACTTATGTAAAAAACCGACTAAAAGGCGACCAGCAAAAAAAACGGAACGTGCATACATATACTTCAATTTATTGAGGTGCCATCGCTAAAATCGTCGTCAACAAAGAAGGTTGAGCCAAATAACATATCAGCCAAAAATGTTATTAATAACATATCAGCCGGACACCACCTCCGTCTAACCGCCGACAGTCACTGCCCCTGTGTCTGACCGGCGAAAATCCCTATCCCTCTGTTCTAACAGGCGAAAATTCCTGTACTTCTATCTGACCGGCGAAAATCCTGTAGTTCTATCTGACCCGCGAAAATTCCTGTACTTCTATCTAACCGGCAAAAATCCCTGAGATCTATCTGACCGACGAAAATCCGTGTACCTCCATCTAACCGGGGAAAATCCTTGTACTTCTATCTGATCGGCGAAAGTCCCTGTACTTTTATCTAAACGGCAAAAAACCCTGTACTTCTAATGTACTCGCGCGAATTTAAGGGATAGTAAATTCCCCTGGACCGCCCGCACTAGACATCGGTTTCTTTGACATCAAAGAAGCCGACGCCTAGTGCAGGCGGTCTGGGGCAATTTTCTGTTCCTTAAATTCGCGCGCGTACAGTACCTAATCGGCAAAAATTTCTGTATTTTTGTCTGACCGGCGAAAACCCTGTACTTCTATCTGACCGACGAAAATTCGTGTACCTCCATCTAACCGGCCAAAATCCCTGTACTTCTATTTGATCGGCGAAAGTCCCTGTACTTTTATCTAAACGGCAAAATCCCTGAACTTCTATCTAACCGGCAAAAATTTCTGTACTTTTGTCTGACCGGCGAAAATCCTGTACTTCTATCTGACCGGCGAAAATCCGTGTACCTCCATATAACCGGCGAAAATCAGTGTACTTCTATCTGATCGGCGAAAGTCCCTGTACTATTTAAACGGCAAATATCCCTGTACTTCTATTTAACTTGCAAAAATTTCTGTATTTTTGGCTGACCGGCGAAAATCTTGTACTTTTATCTAACCGGCGAAAATCCTGTACTTGTATCTGATCAGCGAAACTTCCTGTACCTCCATCTAACCGGTGAAAATCCCTGACTTCTATCTGACCGACGAAATTTCGTGTACCTCCATCTAACCGGCGAAAATCTCTGTACTTCTATTTGATCGGCGAAAGTCCCTGTACTTTTATCTAACCGGCAAAAATTTCTGTACTTTTGTCTAACCGGCGAAAATCCTGTACCTCTATCTGACCGGCGAACATCCTGTACTTCTATTTGACCGGCGAAAATCCCTGTACTTCTATCTGATCGGCAAAAATTCCTGTACCTCAATCTAACCGGCGAAAATCCCTGTACTTCTATCTGATCTGCGAAAGTCCCTGTACTTTTATTTAAACGGCGAAAATCTCTGTAATTCTATCTAACTGCCAAAAATTTCTGTATTTTTGGCTGACCGGCGAAAATCCTGTACTTCTATCTGACCGGCGAAAATTCCTGTACTTCTATCTGATCGGCGAAAGTCCCTGTACTTCTATCTGACCGGCGAAAATTCCTGTACTTCTATCTGATCGGCGAAAGTCCCTGTACTTCTATTTGACCGGCGAAAATCCCTGTACTTCTATCTGATCGGCAAAAATTCCTGTACCTCCATCTAACCGGCGAAAATCCCTGACTTCTATCTGACCGACGAAAATTCGTGTACCTCCATCTAACCGGCGAAAATCCCTGTACTTCTATTTGATCGGCGAAAGTCCCTGTACTTTTATCTAAACGGCAAAATCCCTGTACTTCTATCTAACTGGCAAAAATTTCTGTACTTTTGTCTGACCGGCGAAAATCCCTGACTTCTATCTGACCGACGAAAATTCGTGTACCTCCATCTAACCGGCGAAAATCCCTGTACTTCTATTTGATCGGCGAAAGTCCCTGTACTTTTATTTAAACGGCAAAATCCCTGTACTATTTAAACGGCAAATATCCCTGTACTTCTATTTAACTGGCAAAAATTTCTGTACTTTTGTCTGACCGGCGAAAATCCTGTGCTTCTATCTGACCGGCGAAAATCCTGTACTTCTATCTGACCGGCGAAAATCCGTGTACCTCCATATAACCGGCGAAAATCAGTGAACTTCTATCTGATCGGCGAAAGTCCCTGTACTTTTATTTGAACGGCGAAAGTCCCTGTACTATTTAAACGGCAAATATCCCTGTACTTCTATTTAACTGGCAAAAATTTCTGTATTTTTGGCTGACCGGCGAAAATCTTGTACTTTTATCTAACCGGCGAAAATCCTGTACTTCTATCTGATCAGCGAAACTTCCTGTACCTCCATCTAACCGGCGCAAATCCCTGACTTCTATCTGACCGACGAAATTTCGTGTACCTCCATCTAACCGGCGAAAATCTCTGTACTTTTGTCTAACCGGCTAAAATCCTGTACCTCTATCTGACCGGCGAACATCCTGTACTTCTATTTGACCGGCGAAAATCCCTGTACTTCTATCTGATCGGCAAAAATTCCTGTACCTCATTCTAACCGGCGAAAATCCCTGTACTTCTATCTGATCTGCGAAAGTCCCTGTACTTTTATTTAAACGGCGAAAATCTCTGTAATTCTATCTAACTGCCAAAAATTTCTGTATTTTTGGCTGACCGGCGAAAATCCTGTACTTCTATCTGACCGGCGAAAATTCCTGTACTTCTATCTGATCGGCGAAAGTCCCTGTACTTCTATTTGACCGGCGAAAATCCCTGTACTTCTATCTGATCGGCAAAAATTCCTGTACCTCCATCTAACCGGCGAAAATCCCTGACTTCTATCTGACCGACGAAAATTCGTGTACCTCCATCTAACCGGCGAAAATCCTGTACTTCTGTTAGACCGGCAAAAATCTGACTTCTATCTGACCAACGAAAACCGTGTACTTCCATCTAACCGGCGAAAATCCCTGTACTTTTATTTAAACGGCGAAAATCCCTGCACTTCTATCTAACCGGCAAAATTTCTGTACTTTTGTCTGACCGGCAAAAATCCTGTACTTCTATCTGACCGGCGAAAATCCCTGTACTTGTATCTGATCGGCAAAAATTCCTGTACTTTTATTTAAACGGCGAAAATCTCTGTACTTCTATCTAACTGGCAAAAATTTCTGTATTTTTGGCTGACCGGCGAAAATCCTGTACTTCTATCTAACCGGCGAAAATCCTGTACTTCTATTTGACCGGCGAAGATCCCTGTACTTCTATCTGACCGACGAAAGTCCCTGTACTTTTATCTAAACGGCGAAAATTCCTGTACTTCTATCTAACCGGCAAAAATTTCTGTACTTGTATCTGACCGGCGAACATCCTGTACTTCTATTTGACCGGCGAAAATCCCTGTACTTCTATCTGATCGGCGAAAATTCCTGTACCTCCATCTAACCGGCGAAAATCCCTGACTTCTATTTGATCGGCGAAAGTCGCTGTACTTTTATCTAAACGGCAAAATCCCTGTACTTCTATCTAACTGGCAAAAATTTCTGTATTTTTGGCTGACCGGCGAAAATCCCTGTACTTCTATCTTCGAAAATCGAAAATTCTTGTAAATGAAGCAAAACGGCGAAGCTAACTCTGTATATAAATAATACTAATTATAAGAACATCTGCATGTCCTGTCCTGCTATCTTCGAAAATCGAAAATCTCTGTAAATGAAGCAAAACGGCGAAGTTAGCTCTGTATATAAATAATAGTAATTATAAAAACATATGCATGTTCAGAACCAGGCTACCAACCACGTTAATTACTGTTACATTAATCAGTCCGTTTTACGTTATGCCTTTCCGTATTTTTGTATCTCCACTTTATCCAGTATATTAACAGTATTAACTAACGGTACAGTGATCTTTGGCTTAGAAGTGTAGTTTTACCTCATGCTGTTAGTCAGCGGTTTTCGTTCGAAACGATTCGCATTTCCGCCAATCCAATTTTAATTTCTAAAGGTAAACCAATCAGCGAAATTCATTTCGAACGCGGTTCGTAAATCGGAGGACGAAAAGATCGAAAAACGAAAGTCGTTGACGCAGACTACACGATTTTAGGCATTTTTTGAGCTATCGTGTAAAAATTGGACAAAAAAACGGCTCAGTTAGTTGCGAACGGTGTAGGAGGAGTGTACTTTTTTAACGATAAAATTTGCATTCCCGTAAAATGAACCAGCCGACAAGGACAAACTGAGTATGTGGCAGTGTGGCTTAACAATAATATGCATATGTTCGTACATTGCCATGTGTCAGCGGTTTAGGTTCGAAAATTACGCATTTCCGCCAATCCTCTGTTACTTTCTAATGGTCGACCAATCAGCGAAATTCGTTTTGGAGCCGTTTCGTAAATCGAAGGACGAAAAGATTGAAAAACGAAAGTCGTTGCCGCAAACTAGATGATTTTAGGGATTTTTTGAGCTATCGTGTTAAAATTAGTGTCGAACGGTGTAGGAGGAGATGTTGGCCGAAAAAACGGCTCAGTTAGCTTTGTATATATAATACTCTGCATAAATACAAGAGTCATCTTCGGCTTCATTTACACAGATAATTATACGAGTATAGACATATATGTACATACATCGATACGTACATGGCGCCGATTTCGTATAATAATTTATGTATGTAATAATTACATGCATCTGCTGTCCCACTATTTCATACGTGTGTTCAATAAATTAATGCAAATAA